CAGTCACCCATGGACCTGTCCTGGTGGGCTGCTGTAGTAACAGTGGCCCTGGTATGGTTATTCTGACACAGGCATACCCAGTCACAGCTGTATGACACCCAGACCGTCCCAAGTGCCTACATTCTCATGGATGCACAATGGGGCCCAAATAGGCATAGCAGACCTGAGAGGTGAAGGGATCCGGAGAAGTTCCCTCATCCTACACAGCAAGACACTAGCACTTTGGGGAGGAGCCCAGCTGGAGAGGGGGGACATGTTTGGGAGAATGGTGAGTTCATGGTGTTCCTTTGCCTTCCCGTAGGGCCCCTTAAAGGGTTTTCTGGAAGCACTGGGTAGGCTGCAGAAGAAGTTCTACTCCAAAGGCCTGCGGCTGGAGTGTCCCATCCGCACCTACTTGGTGACGGCTCGCAGTGCAGCCAGTTCTGGGGCCCGGGCTCTCAAGACCCTGCGCAGCTGGGGCCTGGAGACTGATGAGGCCCTGTTCCTGGCGGGAGCACCCAAGGGCCCCCTCCTGGAGAAGATCCGCCCACACATCTTCTTTGATGACCAGATGTTCCATGTGGCTGGGGCTCAGGAGATGGGCACAGTGGCCGCCCATGTGCCTTACGGCGTGGCACAGACACCCCGGCGGACTGCACCTCCAAAGCAAGCCCCATCTGCCCAGTAACTGGGCCACCAGCTTCACTGGCCCACGTTGCTCCCTGTCTTCCATGTCACCACCCTGCCCTCCTGCATGTCTGCCCTCATCCCTGGGATTGAGGTACTTGTAGGAAAGTATGCAGACAGGGCCAGCATTCTCACCGGCCCTCCTTTTGGGCAAACACTGTGCCATGCTCCTGGCGAGGGAAATAGACAGCAGAGTGGCTGGGTTGCAGGGGGAAGCTGATGGGGCTGATGAGACTGAGAGTGGGAGGGGCAGAGCAGCCAAGATGCTTCAAAACAGGCTTGGGCTCAAACTAGCTCAGTGTGATGCAAGAACACTGCTTTGAGAGATAAGGGATCTAGCTTCTAAGCTCCGTCCTGGCATTGACTGCATGACTTCCCTTCATGGGCCTCAGTTTCTCCATCTTTTAGGTAGGTTTTCAACTCTTCTTTAGCTAAAGAAGCTTGGTTTTATAAGGTCACACTCTTTGAAGGAAGCATTCTGTGCCAGGGCTGCTACTGGGAGATGTGACACCTTTTACACAAATTCCAGAAGTATGCTGTCTCTAGAATGAATCATGAAAAGACAGGCCTTTGTCTGGGCTGACCCAGACCACGCTGGGGTACACAGCTTGCTTAGCAGGATGTAGGCAGGATTTCAGCCCCCACTGGCTCCTCAGCCCAGAGGCCTTTGTCAAATGGGCAAGATGCACAATCATCCACAGCAGCCGTACCTATAATTTTACGCATTTGGAGACCCCTGGACAAGATGACCTATCCGCTTCCTGCGATCCCCTAATCTGAGTCATCAAGATCAGATTTCTGGTGCAGGGTTAGTGAACGGAGCGAAGGAGTGACTTTAACCTGCCCGCAAACTCTCTTCCGGCCAGCAGGGGGCACTGCAGGCTCTCCCTGGGAAGGAGCTGTAGTGGGCCTGCGCAGCACTTCCTGTAATTTTGCTTTTTAGCCAAAGTTCAGTTGTTCCTGCCTGCCAAACCCCTCACCTCAACCCTCACTCCCTCAATTATTGCATCCTGCTGGGCTGCCAGGCAGCCCCTGCTAGAGGGGGAGAGGTGGAGAATTGGTGTTTACTGTCGTGAGCTCAAATGCAGGGAAGACAGTTCAGTGGCTGAGGTGGGATATGGCCCAGGCTGAGCCGGAGGGAAGGCCTGCATGGAGTGATGCAGGACGTGTGCGGAGGTCTGGTCTGGGGCAGTGACCAGATAGAGAGGAAGGAGCTGAAAGGTGCACTAGCAAGATTCTCCAGCTACAGGACTGTGAGCGGAGGTAATGAGCTCTCCGTCACTAGGAGGCTGTGCAGGGGACTCCAGGATGAGGTGACCTCCCCCTGCGGTGCACTAATGAACTAACTCTCCGTCCTTGCAGGAGCCCCTGCAGCCTCTTTGTCACCACTTCCAAGGGAGCATTCTCACTGCTTGGTGAGTCAGCCTCCTCCTTTGCTGACCAGCCTGGCTCTCTCCGGAGGAGGGTGGGAGCTCCAATGGCTGGTCCCTCAGGAAGACCCAGAGGGGTGAGCAGACGCAGTGATGGGGACTGATCGCCCTGCTCCCTGAGGCGGGGTGTGTGTGTGTGTGTGTGTGGAATCCTACCTGTAAGCAAGCACTTTATGAAGAAAGCCAAAGGTATTGTCAATGAAAAATTAATCAGTCGGTCTAAGAAAGAAATGGAAAAATCTTATTTGAGCCAAATTTGAAGATGATAACCTGGGAAGCATCTCAGAAAGCTCTGAGAACTGTCCTGCCGGTTAGAAATCAAGGCACAGTTTTAAAAGTTTTTTGAGAGACAGGGCTGTACATCCAATGATGTATTATTGACAGTTTACATAATCCAGCTCTAAGCATCATCCTGGCGTGTCATGTGACCCCTTACAAGATCAAGAAGGAATGTTATCTTTTAAGGAGTTGTCCTGTTCATGCTGGGACAATGTTGCTCTTTATGGCTGAGCAGGCATTCCTGCTGGTGGGGAGGTTTGGTCAAAAATGCATAATGCAGACACGTAAGGCACAGTGTTGGGGAAGAGGAGGCCAAAAGGCAGAGAAAACATTTTTATGTTTAAATTTTTCTTGTCTCATCATAAAATATGAAATTTACTTTGCAGTATCATCAGAGGGGGCAGGAGCCTGGAGGTGTGTGCAGGAGAGCTGGAACGCTTGTTGGGTCAGGAAAGGGGGTGACAGGCCACCTGGGGTCTGACCTTTGTCCTTGTGAGGACTCAGCCCAAGGTTTGATTGGGCAAAGGTTCTGGGCAGTGTAATGCCGGGTAATAGTGTCAGAAAGATAATCCAGAAGGAAAAACAAAGTGAGAAGACTGAGATGGTTCTGGAAATGAACAACAGTTTGGGTCAGAAGAGTCTGGGCTGGGCTTTCCCTGTCAGTGCTGGAGCCGCCAAGGGGCAGGTCCAGAGGAGGAAAGCAAGACTGCGTGGGTGGCTGGGCAGAGGCGGCACTGCTGTTATCAGGGGAGGGCATGTGATGAGGACATCTTTGCACAAGGTCATTCCCATCCACAGCCAGGAGCCTTCTGGCAAGAAAGGAGGCCTCAGGGCAGAACCAAAGCTCCCAGCCCAGCCAGATATACTGAATTTCCTAAGAAAATCCTGGAGGAAACAAAGAGGAAGTGAGAGAGGGAACTTAATCCCAGTCACCCTTGATTTTGGCTGAGCCACACAAAGGCCTTCTGCCTCCCCTCCCCCTGGGGTCAGAATCACCCCTGGGCTGAGCCTCCAGGGCTCACAGAGCCAGCTGGTAGCCATAAGATGCCTGCAAGACTAGGCACAGCCAAGGCTCACTGCATGGCATCAGGCTGCATGACTGGCATGGACAGGAGCCCTGGTAGGGCAGCACCAGATGTCACCTCGTTAAGATGAACCCCAGGGATTCTGAGACCAAGAGGTCCTGCCCCCAGGGCCTGGCGATAAACACTGCTGATTCTTCCGGGTCTCTCAGGAAGCAGGAAAATATGATGTGAGAAGCAGCAAGATACAAGTCGTGGATTTCACTGGAACATCATTAATAGACCTGGACAGCCCTGGGCAAGGAGAGACTCTATGGTCCAAATTCTATTATTGAAACCATAAAAGAGCATTTCAGGCCTGGAAGACAGCTCTCAGTGGCTGGAATAAAAGTCCAGAAGTCCTGGGGGCAGGCTTAGGCAACTGCCAGACACACCTTCGGATTGTTTGAAGTGGTCAGGAGACATCCTGGGGACAAGAGTGTTGTTTATAGTATCACCAGGCAAATTATAAAGCCAAGTGAGCACTTAAGCCACAGACCCAACCGTGGCCTGCAGCGCCAGGGCAGAGGCCCGGCTCCTGACACGCTGAACCAGAAGCATCGCAGCACAACGAGCCCTGCAGAACAAACACGTCCCAGGAGATGCTTGCCAACAAAGTCCCAGGCCCAATGGAAACTGCCACTTAGGAAAACAGAAGCCCGGTTACTAGGCGCTGGGACTGCTAAGGTCCCTACGAAACAGCCCCCCCCTTCCTGAGATCCCAATCAGAATGAGGGGGATGCAGCGGAAAACACCAGAAGTCAAAGCCAACAAGAAGTTTAAATCCAAGATGAATCCAGCGTTCATGATATTCAACTGGCGTGCACCAGTCCAGCCGAACTGGTGATTAAAATACTGAAATGCTGCCATATGGTTGTCAACAGCGCTGGCCTGAGCCCCTGAGATCCCCTCTCCCCACCCCTGCCACGGTCTCAGCTGCCCCCTGGTCGCTCCATCTTCCCACGATCCAGCAAAAAGGGCCTCTGGGAGGTTGTGCCAGCATGATGGTCAGTGTCCACTCACTTTGGTCTAAAGGTGAAGTTAGTTGTCCAAATTCATACAACTAGTAAGTGGCAGCGGGAAGACTCAAGCTCATGTCTGTCTGACTCTGGGACTCAGGCTCGTAACTGTTTTGCCGTATGACCCATACACGTGCGTAGAAAACAGCAAGAGAAGCTTCAGAGCAAAGGCATTCACCTGACAGTCTGTTAACATGTTGACCCCCTGCATGTTAAAATGCTGTGATAGACTTGAGTGGGTACATCTTTACTATAGCTTCCTAAATTGCTAAGAGGAATTTAAATTAGGGCCAAACATTTGCATAGCCGAAGCACCTCTTGACAACCTCAAGTTCTGTGGAACCCAGTTTGTATTGGGCTAACACTGGATTTGGCAAACTACGGTTCCTTAAGCCCAGTCTAGTCCACCACCTGCTCTGTAAAGTAACTTATTGGAATACAGCCATACCCATTTGCTTACGTATGTCTTTGGCTTTTGATCTACAGCAACAGAGTTGAATTGTTTCAACAGAGGCCAAGGAGCTGAAAATATTTCTCTGGCTCTTTGCGGAAAGAGTTTGCCAACCCCTGGGTTAAGGCATACATCCCTGGCCCGCTCCTCAGTGGAACAGACCAGCCTATGTTCATCCACGCATTTGGAGGTAGAGGCTGGCTGGGGTGCAGAGCAGGCAGCAGGAGGGTGCTTCGTGCCCACTGGCAGGCATCTTCAGGGGTTGCAGGCACTAACTGAGAACCTTGATGCTAAACACAGCAGACCCTTGGCATCTGAGGACTGAAGATTTCAAGTTTTGACTATCTTTGAGTGACTCATGGCCGGTTGTAATATGAAATGTTGATGCACACGTTTGACTGGGGTGTGCTCTCCCAAGCTTCTGGGTGAGGGGCCAGGAGCAGGACCCCTGGCTAGGGCTGAGCCCAGCTGGCTGTCCAGCATCTGCTCAGCATGGCTCTGTTTTTGTCAGCTCGTCGTTGCCCTCATGGGGCCTCTTGGAAACTGATAAGTGCCCTTAGATGGACGGACCTTAGCTGAATATTAGTTTTGGATGAACTGAAGTGACTTAAGTACTCAGATCTAACAAGTCATCCATATACTCTGTGGAAGCAAGAACATACTCTTCACGAAGGTGGTCCCAGCGAGGATTTTAGCTGGCCCAGAAGTTATTGATCAAGTCAGAGGTGAAACTCTGGTGCAAGTTGGAATGGCAGTTTTCTTGTGGTATGAAGGTGTGAGCAACAAACACACATACCCTCATGATGGAATTGTGGGTCAGGAGAAATCTGCAGGTTTAGGGACTGGCAACTGTGGCAGTAGTCCTACCTACAGCATGATTGCTGGCACTGTCCCACTGTGACACTCTTCTAGGCTAAGCCTAGATTTGGCTTCAGAATTCTTCTCAACCCAGCATTTCAGGCAGCCACTGCTGGTGGCTTGGAGTTGGCATGAAAGATGGAACACCTATTTTGCCATCCCTATTGGAGTTGGATATTGCTTTCCAAGGGGCATGCAAGGCTCTGAATGTTCATTCTCTGATGCTCTGATGCAACTCTGAGGATGCCAGGGTCTCACCCCACTCAAGCAGAACACAAAGAGGAGAGAGAATGGCATTCTATGCTGGCAGCTTCCTTAGAAGGGGTGCCTGAGAAGCAGTGTCCAAGGTTTCACCTGGTCTTCAAAGTACAAATACCCTTTCCACCACTAGGTGGCACTGCAGGCCAACACTCAGTTGCTGGTGATAGTTCATGGTTTTATTCACTGGTTACTTTTCTCTCCTTCCACGTTCCTTGGTGCTGTCCTGGACTCTTGCAGGTAGCTTAGCCAAAAGGGACTTCAGGTGCTCCAAAAATGTTTGCTCAGCAGACCTGGGTGACGAGCTGATTGCTGTTACCAACAACCACTGTGACTGCATGTATGGACACACACGTATGAGTGTGCAACAGAATAAAAACTGCATGTATGTTTATGTGGGTGTGTGTAATGGGGCAGATAACTCTGCTGATGACTCTGTGTGTGTGTGTGTGTGTGTGTGTGTGTGTGTGTGTACAGGATGGTTATCTCTGTTAAGTATAGGTTCTGGGCCCCACATACTGGCTGCCAGCCCTGCTTCCAGGGACTAGTTCTGGCCCTTCCCATCATCTCATGGGCATTTGCACATGTGCAGCATGTGGGCCTCTGAGGCCAGGCCCCTTATCTATCTCTCCAGCTTCTAGCCTCTGGCCAAACAAGGTCTTGACTCCTAAACCTCTGCCTTCCACTCCTTATCTCTGCGGCCTTGGGGACAAAGTGGTAGAATTGGGGTTACCCCTTTTGGCTGCACTTGCCTCACCATCTCCATTTGTTTCTTCCTTCTCCTTGACAGTCGCAAGGCCAACACGTACAGTTGGGCAGATTGTGCACTGCATAAATGCAGGTGGAGCCATTCATATCATGAGTGGTACCTCTTAAACACGTGTAAAACCTGCCAACTGTATGCAGCTGCCCTGATCATCTCATGGCCATGGCTAGGGAAGCTGCTTTCTTCCCTTTCCTCCTGGCCCAGGCCAGCCTAGACGGGGAGTACTTCCTTTGCTTGGACGTTCTAGTCTGGCCCTTGGCCTTGATCAGGAAGTATCTTCCTGATAGGACATCCCCAACACTTTGGGACTCAAGTTATGAAAGTGAAATATGGCTGGTGAATTTTCAGTTACTGTGAAACAAACCAAAACTCTACAGATGGGGTCACTGACTCCCACACTCCAGGCGAGCAGGTGAATACACCTTCATGGGCCAGAATTAGGGCAAAGCCCTCAAGACTAGGCTTGTAGCTGCACCAGGTAGAAAATCAAGAGGTCACCATAGACTGGAGGCCTGGGTCACAAATCCCCACACCTCTAAAGATCAGGCAGGAACCTTCAGTGAGCAAAGAGGATAAGGCAAGGTGTGTGTGAAACGGTGAACACATATGCTGTCGTCTGACACGGTTGCTGCCGTGTGGGAGTGTGGGCTGCTCTCTCTGGATATTCCACACCATTTTTCAAGAGAAGCTAGAAATTTTGACTTTCAAATGTTGGCAGCTATTTTGAATTAGAAAACACTGTGCAGGCCAAGGAAAACATATTCTGCAGGCTAAATCTGGCCTTGGAGTTTCCAGTTTGCACCCTCCAGCCCAGGCCCAGTGAATTGGGTGTTTTAGAACTGAGTAACTGAAAGTGTAAGGAAGTTAAACTTAGACTCAGAGAATTTTAGGTCTTCAAGAGACTTTAGAGATAACCTAATTTGTCTCTTGTATGTTTAATTTTTTTAATTTAAAAATTTTGTTTTGCAACACCTTTAAATTTTAATGAAAAGGTAACCTATTTTTAATTACAAATTCAATTAAAATTTCAAGAAAAAAGATGTATCTATATACTGACTTTACATACTTACAGAAAAACTGGACTTTGAAGCCCTAATGTTTCAAAAGTATTCATTTTCCTCCATACAAACCTAGTATTACTCGGCAACAGTACTACTGATTTTAAAAATAGAGACTGGATACACTTTCCAGATGCAATGCATTATCTGTCATTTGTACAACTCACCAAGGTTGTTTTCATTCTCAGCACCTGTCCGTGCTGTGTTTTAAACTATGTACACACAAATTTCTTTATTAACTTAACAGCATACATATCATAAATTTCTAGTTTCTACATAAGAGCATCTTGGTACCCACAATTTAGAATAAGATTTTTAAATGAAGCTTCTATACATAGTGTGCTTGTATCTGTCTGTCAGAAGCCCTGTTTTAGACCATCTGCTTTATGATAGCTCTACTTCTGTCTTTTGCAAACATGGGCTGCCCTGGTCTTCCTTATAACCTAACTTCTCTGCTTTCCATGGTAAACCGCTAAGTGCCTCCTTAAATGGTTGGAGCCTGTGCTTCTTTGTCTGTGGGACTTCCCTTCTCTGAGGATGAGGCTGCTCATGCTTTCCCCAGCTTGGCCCCTCCATGGTCCGCCAACAGCCCTCCGCGGGCCCCGGCTCTGTCTGGCTCTGCATCCCTCACCCAGTCACTTGATAAAGGGTGCTACGAGCTTGTCCGTGTGGATCCCTCTGACTGCTCATGCTTGTTCTGTACCCAAGGTTATAGTGGCCTTTCACTTCTTAAAAGCCATTTGAATAAATAGAAGCCCTTTAAAATAAGCTAATGTGGCCTTGTTCTTCCCCTTCACAATTGTATTCACAAACTGTATTAGGGTCCCTTCAAGAAATGCCAGTGGGGACACATGGAGTGAGCAGACCTGGGATCAGTTCCATCCATGGGTGCCAGTGTCTCTCTGTAGACCCTCCCCACCCACAGGAAGACCACCTTCAGAGATTCTTTTATGGGCAGTAGCCTGAGCCCATCAGAAGACAAGATTCTTCATCAGAGCTCTTGGTGTGGACTCAATGTCCCCATCTGGAACTATCTGGTTGGGGGTTGGGGGGGAAGAATAGAGTGGGAGGAAAAAGAGGAGCTAAGAAATCAGGGGAGGTGGAGGAGGAAGCGGGTACCTCAGACTCCAGCCTCAGCCCTCACATCATCCTTCCTTCTGCACCTCAGCCCCATTCCACAGCCCACCCAGCCCAGGGCCAATACCTCTGTTCTATTCTGTCCACCACCTTCATTCCTCCTGAGGTCCCCTTCACCTCTGTCTGCTGAGGTCCCCTCCAGGCATCTCAAACACAACTTCCTCAGCTAGGCCCCCTCAAAGCCATATATCATGAGAGACCGATCACATCCTCCCTTGAACAATATTTAGGTCTACGATTCTTTCTCCCACAGCCCAATGGAGTATCTCCAGCTTTATTTCGGTGTCCCCCAGCCTCAGTGGCTGTCAATCATTCCTGTAATTGAATGATTGAATTCGGGACTAATAGGATGGGGCCAGCTGTTAGCAGCCAATGTCATTTCTGAACTGATTGTGAAGTATTTTGAATACATCTCCTAAAAAGGAAACCAGAGGCATGGAAGTCTTATGATGTATTAGTTATCTATTGCTATGTAACAAATTACCCCAACACTTAGCTGCTTAAAGCAACAAACATTTATTATCTCACAGCCTCTGTGGGGCAAGAATCCAGGAGCAGCTTAGCCAGGTGGTTCTGGCTCAGAGTGTCTCATGAGGTTGTCATCAAGCTGCCATCTGGGGCTGCAGTCATCTGAAGATTGGACTGGGGCTGGAGGATCTGCTTCCAAGAAGGCACATTCACATGGCTATTGGCAGGTAGCTTCAGTTCCTTGTCACAGGGTAGCCTGAGCTTCCCCCAGAGTAATCCAAGAGAGAGCAAGACAGACTTGCTTTAAAAAACTGTCTTTTCTGATCTAGCCTCGGAAGTGACATATTCTCGCTTCTGCCATATTTTATTGATCACAAAGACCAACCTGATACGGTGTGAGAGGGGACTACCCAAGGCTGTGAAACGCCAGGAAGTGGAGATAACCGAAGCCCATCTTGGAGGTTGGCTCCCACATATTACTATACCCCCATCAGCCTGGTATCACTGGGGGTTTATTTTAATCAATCCTTTGTCTCTAGACCCAAATGCAAATAACAACAACAACAACAACAACAATAATAATAAAAAGAAAACTAAAAAAAAAAAGACTACCTCCATGATTCTGCAACCCAAAGGCCCCCACTTTCCACCCAGTCACCAGGGATAAGAAGAAATGTGACTCCTCGCCTGCTCCCTTCCTTATACCTCCCATCCAGCAGATTCTTCTGGGGGCCTGGGGTCACCTACTTGGGAACGTCATGGAAACTTTGTGTTCTGAGATGTCATGGTCTCACTGTGAAGTTTTTATTATGTCTGTAAGGCCAGCGGTACCAGGGCTGCTTACACTGGTTTGTAGCCAGTGGACCATGTCTAAGGTGAAGGAAAGAGCAGGGGTGGTGGCCCGACACCCTTTCCTGTCCGGACCTTGGATGAACGGACTGAACCCTCTGGTGCCATAACTGAATATTGTATTTTCTGACATGACCAAATCTTGGACTGAATTTGAGAGCAAAAACCCTGTAACAGAGTGGGGATGTGACTGTGACTTAGAGCAGAAAAAAAAGGAGCAACGGGACAGAGGTGGGGACTTTCTCCTCCTCTGTGCCCTCCCTTTTTCACTTGCAAAGCTCTTCCAGGACCTGAGAGCTATGCTTTTTCTTTCTTTGTCTTTTTTTTTTTTGCTTTTGCTTATTGTTGGCCAGTTTTACTTGCCCACAAATCATTTTTAAAAATTTGTTTTTTTAAAATCAGGTAACTCAAGAAATAAAATTACAAATTCACATCATAACAGTGAAGAGAATAGACTGTTCTAAACACATAATCCAAATCAATTCATTCCATCCTCCCAATCACTCTAGGAAGCACCTACCATTGTTATCCTCATTTTACAGATGAGGAAACTGAGGACCAGAGAGGTAAGCTAACTCACATGGGGTCCACGGTAAGTCACAGAGCTTGATTTAAACTCACTATGTCTGGGGGAACGTGATAGCTCAGTGATAGAGCACATGAAGTGTGAGGTCCTGGGTTCAGTCCCCACTACCTCCATTAGAAAATAATTTTAAAAAATAGAATTATAAACTCAAGTTGTCTGGCTCCAGACTGTGTATCTTACGTGCTACGGTACTGACTCTCTCGTGTATATTTTAAGATTAAACACACATAAGAAACTATGAACTGACATTGCTAGTTTAAGGTACGCCCCCCTGAACCGCAGGGGTGGTACAAATAATTTTCTGCCGTTTGGGTTACTCCAAGGGAAAAGCTTGAGGAGTGGCCTTTAATGGGTACTTCATAAGAAGCAGAACCGTCTTTCCAGAGATAAAACTACTGGTTCCCCTTGGCCCATTGTTTTTGGATCTGGGCAGAAGAGGCATGGGTGAGATGTTTTCATCCACGTCTTGAAAAAATGAAAACAAAGTCTTAAAGACAGGGAGCAGCGTGTCCAAGGGCACACACCA